CTATGCCTTTAACTCAACTCACCAAGAAAGGACAACCCTTTGAGTGGACAGAAAAATGTGAGAATAGTTTTCAGGAGCTTAAGAAAAGATTAACCACTGCACCAGTCTTAGCCTTACCCAATCCTAATGGACAATTTGTCATATTTTGTGATGCCTCAAAAATGGGATTAGGGTGTGTTCTTATGCAAGATAGAAGAGTAGTAGCATATGCTTCTAGACAATTGAGAGCTCATGAAAAGAATTACCCAACCCATGATCTAGAACTAGCTGCCATTGTTTTTGCACTAAAGATATAGAGACATTACGTGTATGGTGGTAAGTTTGATGTTTTTAGTGATCATAAGAGTTTAAAATATTAGTTTGATCAAAAGGAACTGAATATGAGACAAAGAAGGTGGATGGAATTTTTAAAAGATTATGATTTTGAATTACACTACCATCCAGGGAAAGCCAATGTAGTGGCTGATGCACTGAGTAGAAAATCTTTACATATCTCTTCATTAATGATTCATGAGATGAATTTGATAGAAAAATTTAGAGATATGAATTTATCAACTACAGTAAGTCAGGATAGGCTACAATTACATGCGGTTCGAATTACTAGTGACTTACATGGACAAATTGGTGAGGCTCAGGTAGTTGATAAGTTCATTCAAAAGAAAAAGAGATTGTTGGGACAAAAGGGTGGTGAAAAGTTTAATATAGATCAAAAGGGAGTTTTGAGATTTAGTGATAGAATATGTGTGCCTAATGATTCTGAAATTAAGAAAATAATTTTAGGGGAGGCACATAAGAGCAAGTTGAGCATACACCCTGGAGCAACAAAGATGTATCAAGATCTCAAAAGAATGTTTTGGTGGCCCAAAATGAAAAAGGAAATATCACAATATGTGGCTACATGTTTTTTATTATTTATCTTAACTTACAAAATTTTAGTGCGATTCTATTAAGTGTAGAGACCATGACGGGTCGTTACAGAACCAACTAGTTTTGCTTGGAATTCAAAGGTTGTTTAATGTTAGGTGCATGATTGTCTTTGCTTTTAAAGGTTTGATACTTTTATTATGAACTCTTTTTGTAAGAATATAATGGGCAACGAAACAGTAATCATTGGCGAAGTGTTACCAATGGCGTAAGAAGAGGTGTCCTGAAGTTTTTTTTTATGAGTAAGAATTTTTTTTAAAAATTACATCCCCAAATGTAATATCTCTATAACATTAGATAATAACAATAAAAAAGTTAATTGAGGTGGAAAATGGGTTCAATACTAAAAAAAAAAACACATCATGATTGATCACATATTTTACGAATTTATATGAATTAACTTCACAAAATGTGTGTTGTAATTATAACAATTTTTTAATCATAATTTTAAAAAAAAAAAGTTAAGGATAAAAGTGATTCATACACTACATCAAAATTAGTTTTTTATGGTAATTAATTTATTATTTAGCAGCTATATAAATGATCATTATTTTTTTTTACCAGCATTTAACTAATGACTGGTGTATTCAGTGTCACTAATACTATTATCGACATTTATATAAAATGCAGGTAAAGATTTACTAAATTGTTGGAAAAACTTATTTTTTTAGTGGCAATTCTACTAGCCATTTTAAAGGCTATTAGAAGTTGTTTTTTTTTCAATTATCTCCTTTACTTTAAATAATTTATTCCTATAATTTCAATTTCTAAATTCATAACATATATACTTTTTTATCTCTACTCGATGTGAAATTTGTAAGATGAGAGTTATCTTTTATTTATATATTTTTTAATTTATTTTTTTAATTGTCTTGTCTTTTAAGAGATGTGAGATTTATAAGGTGAAAGTTGCTCTCTAATTATTTTATAGCATTATTGAACTTGGTAACAATGAGTGATTTATACCAATTTAGAATAGTGAATTAGGAGTCAATCCTATAAAATGAACTTATAAGGTGATAGTTATTACTCACTTATATACTATTTAATTATCTTATCTCTTATCGATGTGAGACTTAAGTTTTTTCTAATAAATAATTGTCGCTAATAGTAAACTTTAATATAATATAAATACATTTTTAGTAGCTATTATATATTAGTCATTAATATTTTTACATATGGCGGTAATTAAATTATTACCATTAAATAATTGTCATTAATAACAAATTTTGTTGTAGTGATATTATATGATTCCTAACCGCAAAACTTTAAATAGAAGTGAAACAACTTAAAAAAAAAATCTGAATTTTCAATCCATTTAGTTTTGGTTAAACTTAGGTTTATAGTGCGCTTTTTTTTGCCCCCTTTCTCTTCCTTTTAGTATCATAAAGCACATAGTATCTTCACACTCTTTTTTGGCATAAAATGATATAAGTAGGCCTTCCCGAATTTTGAACCGATATCTTTCTAAAGAACAATTTTAATATAGCCAAATATCAAATCCTGATATTTTGATCCACGTAACCTTTTGCACTTGGTCGTGACTCTACTGATAATAAAGTTAGGACTGGAAGGACCACAAATTCAGATATAGGACAAAATCTTAATAATGCACTCTAATTTCTCTATTTCTAATTAAAATTCATTAAAAATTATGAAATTTTGAGTCTTAGTATTTAATAAGTTTTATTTATAATTTTATAGTTTCTAATAAATATTAATAAAAAAATATAAAAAATTTCTTTCAAAATAATTAATAAAAAATTTCTGCCAAAAGAATTAATAAAAATAGATGATATTAAAATAAATGTGTTAAAAATATGGGTTAAATTGTGCTTTTGATCCCTCTATAATATTAAATTCACAATTTTAGTCTTCTATTTTTAAATCATAATTTTAATCCTTCAATTTTATTAAATTCGTAATTTTGATCTCCTTATTGAAAGTTCATTTGTTGATGCTAAAATTGTAATGTTTGTTGTACCTATCATTATATAGATAATATTTAAGCTAAATTATTCTTTTAGTTCTCATTTTCATCCTATTAATTTTATATCATTTTATCATTTTTATGAAATAAAAAAAATTAAAAGTGAAATTTAACTCAAAATTATTAAATATTACTCTCTTTATTTTCTATTCTAAGCAAAAACACACACAACCTTTATTCTTAAGTACAAGTAAATTTTAACTACTTTTGTTTCATTTAATGATAATCTCCCCAAAATATCTTTTCTCAGAAGCATAATCTTTCAATTGTACTATTTCTTTTTATATATATAATAAGAACAATTTATGCATAATATTACGACATTAATAAAATTTAACAGATAATTATTCCTTAATATACATAAAATCAAGTGTTTTTAGTTTATAATAGAGAATATATGGAATAATTATTATGTCATTTATTTAATGTCAAGTCATAATCGTTACAAAATTACAAATTTTATAAAATTAAAAAATATAATCATAAATTTAATAATAAAGATCAAAATTATAAATTTAATATTATAAAAAAATAAAAATGCAATTTGGCAAAAAAAATATAGTGATAGATACGATTGTAAAATTTAACATACTTTTTAAAAATTACTTTTATCATTGATAATAATTTATCCTGAGTCATTAAATTTTGTGGTCCTTACTTAATATTAAATGAACATATAAATTTAGAGGTTGTCTATGAGTACAACAATAATAATTATTTTAGATAATTTTTTTTTACCTATCATAATTACCATGACAATATTAAAATTTGAATTTAAATGTATTATATTCTAATTTTACAACACTAAATCGACCCGTAATGATTATTTTTAGGTGAAATTAATTTCATGGATAATTTCTTCTATAAATCGCAGAAATTGTGCATGAGTAGAAAACAAAACAAAAAGAAAGCCGTACAACAAATATTTCCAAACGACCATATTAATATAAAAGTATTATTATACGTTATAGATATAAAACTTTAAATTGAAAAATAATAAAACAAAGAATAATACATCACGTACACATTGTCCAACCAACAAAGTAGTGGTTGGTAGATAATTTAATGGAATTAGATATTCTATTCTTTATATGTGTGCATGAAAAATATTTATTAAAAATATTAATTTCTTAATCTTTTAAATAGATCTTAGTAATTTATAGGATTAATATTTAATTTCTGACTAAGATATCGTAGTTTATAAAAAAATAAAAAATAAAAATAAAAAAAATAAATGAAAAAAGACAAAGGCCAACCAACCCCAGTTACGACTTAAATCTAATTCAAAACATAATGATTATACTTTGTTTCTTTGGATCTTGAGGTGATTCTAATTTTTCAAAAATAAAATTGTCGCAATTAAACCTTTAAGTTGGGTTCAAAATAAAATTGTTTTCTCTCAACTCAATAGGCCCAGTCCAGTACGACGTGCCTCCAGAAAAGAGAGGTTGCGGTGGAAAATGGACACAACTATTAAGACTTGCATGACTGTATGGTCTGCATCCCCAAAAGTGGGGATCTCTTTGTCGATTCCCTTGTTCACACCTTTAATTTTATTGAGCACTTCTTCAGAATCTTTGTACCACATATTCTCAGAAATCATAATGAGTCTTCTTCTGCATACATCTATCTTTAATTAACTATATATGGAATCTTTTCATTCGGTTCTCAACTTCAAAGACATTACATTTTTTTTAATTCAAAATGCCTAATAATGGTAAAATCAAATGCACTGTGTTTATTTATTTATTTTTTTTTTCTGGGTCAGCAATGCACCATGTAAAAGGACGAGTATCCTTTTCAGTCAAAGATTTGGCCTGATTAGCTTTTAGCCCTTTTCAAGATCTCACTAATTATAAGCAAATTGTGCTACCTGATGAAAAAATACATATATTCTTTTACCCTCAGCCTTTTTACCTTTTATGTGTTGAGCAAAGGTGGAGGGAAAGATTCGTGCGGTCTCTTAGAAGGAAAAGATATCATTTTCTTTTGAAATGATTTTGAACACTCGTACCACTAAAACAAAATTTATTATTAACGATAATTATTTAATAACAATAATTTAATTGCTGTTATATATAAAAATATTAATGACTAATATATAATAGCTACTAAAATTATATTTATATCACACTAAAGTTTATTATTAGCGACAATTATTTATTAGAAAAAACTTAAGTTCCACGTCGATTAGAGATAAGATAATTAAATAGTATATAAGTGAGTAATAACTATCACCTTACAGGTTCATTCCTATAAGGTTGATTCTTAATTCATTATTCTAAATTAGTATCAAATCACTTATTATTACCAAATTCAATAGTATAAAACAAAAAATATATAAATGAAAAACAACCCTCATCTTACAAATCTCACATCAAGTAGAGATAAAAAAAAATATATAAGTTATGAATTTAGAAAAGGAAATTATAGGAATAAATTATTTAAAATAAAGGAGACAATTGAAAAGAAAAAAAAACTTTTAATAGCCTTTAAAATGACTACTAGAATTGTCATTAAAAAAATAAGTTTTTCCGACAATTTAGTAGATTTTTACCAGTTTTTATATAAATGTCAATAATAATATTAGCGACACTGGATACATCAACCTTTATTTAAATGCTGGTAAAAAAATAATGATTATTTATATGGTCATTAAATAATAAATTAATTGCCAAAAAAAATAATTTTAGTGTAGTGTAATGATGTAATTGAACTGTGTTTTCTTAAGGAGGCGAAAAAGAGAAAAGAATTTTCTAAAAGAAAGTGATTCTAGTTTCTTTTTTTTATCATTCAAAAAATTACAAAGAGTGTGGCACGTCGAGGTGAAAATCAGTGAGTGACTAACGTATACAAATAGGGTCTATACATGGTTATGCATATGAACCTTAACCATGTCAAATCCTTTTCACTGTTACGCTCTTTTTTCTTTGCACCTGCTTAGTAAATCACACCCCACAAACACACTCTCCCCTTTCCTCACTTTCTTTTCCCCAGGTTTTATTGGAAAAGAAAAACAAATGTCCCTTTCCAGGTGGCGTAGTAACCCAACTTTCTCTCCTCATCCCTCATTTTCATCACTTCATCAACAACACACCATTTTCTTCACTTCTTCTATTCTTCAAACATATAACAAACCTGCATGTTTTCCACTCTATGCTAGTGCTAGATCTTTTTCTTGCTTTTCCACAACCTGTTTGTTTTCTGCAAATTGGCTATTTATGAGAGACTCAACTTTAGCCCTACTTCCTTCACTGCATATAGTTGATTGCCCTTGCTAGAGATATATCATGGAAGATTTTTACAAGTTGAACCCTCTTCTGTCTTGTCCTGAGGATGTTGTTAGAGAAGTTAACGTCAACGCTTCTGCTACTGATGCTTCTGAATTAAATATAGGACTTGTGGCCAATAACTTCCTTCACCTCCAAGAACCCCAAACATCGGATCGCTTCATCAAGAACCAGATCGCCACTCACCCTCTCTATCCAAATCTAGTATTTGCTTACATAGAATGTCGAAAGGTTATGACAATCCCACTCCCATCAATTATTTATTTATTTTTGTACTTAATTCGCCTTCTTCTCTTCTTCACATCATAGCTCCATCTCTATGTCTAACATATTTGAAGTTGGAGGAAAATTAACAAGGAAACTAACACGTAACAAGAGTCTTATTATATACAAGTTTAAAATTACTTTTAAAAGCTTTTCTACTGATTTATTTTCAATAAAAAGTTCTCAAAAATCCTTCTAATTTCTTATCTAAGTTTTTTTATTCATGTAAATATAACATACTAATATTAATACTAAATGGTAGTTGTGTTTTTGTTTTTTAATTAATGGAGGTTGGAGCACCGCCAGAACTGGTTTCAATTCTTGAAGAAATATCTTGTGAAAGCCATTCAACGGATTCTCTTCGTGAGATTGGTGATGATCCTGAGCTTGACGAGTTCATGGTATTTTCTTCGTCTTAACAACTCATTTTTCTTTTTGAGTTGCTATGTTGACAAAAAAAAAATTATTAAATGAGATCGGTAGACTTGTACGTTTAGTTTTGGAACGAAGATTTTAATTTTTGTTGTTGTTGTAACGCATGTTAGGAGTCATACTGCGAAGTTCTTCATAGATACAAGCAGGAGTTGTCCAAGCCATTCAACGAAGCGACCTTATTTTTGTGTAATATCGAATCACAACTCAGCAATCTTTGTAATGGAACGCTAACAACACCATTGGATAACAACCGCTCAGGTAAATCCAGGATTCATGTTTATTCCTATGCTCGACTAATGGAAACTGTGAAGCTCGACTCATCGTGTAACAATGTTGTGTTAAAATATTCTGGATATATTAATATGCGCTCTCTTTCTTTTTTTTTTTATTATTGCATTCTTGTTTTGTTTTTAGGGAAGAAGAATTGCCCTCTTGTGTACGTTGAAGATGGAAATCATTTTGTCTTATTTAATCATTTAATTAAATATTTATAGTGTGTCCACGTCACGATTACGACCATCTGACTTCTGTTAAATTGGATCCTCCTAGACGTTCAAAAATAATAAATAATAATTTTTTAAATACCAAAAATAAATAATAGTTAATTCACGACAATGTAGCTTTTTTCTTAGCCTTGTGATTGGTCATGTGCGGACTGCGTGCGCGCGAGTAACCAATAACTGGATTTGTACATACATGATCCATAACCCCAATTTGGTGTGGAAGGAGGAAATGGAGGGAAACAATTGAGAAAAGATAGAGAAAAAGTGTGTGATGCAAAAAGAAGAGACCTAGGAACATGTGGTAAAAATGATGCGGAAGAAAAAAGTGGGTGAATGAGTATATAACAAAAATAAGATAATGTGGTACATTGTTGTCTTTATAATTTTAAACAATAGTCTATTGTTAGAGAGTCAGTCTCTCAGTAGCTTTTATTAATGGGATGGATTCAGTAAATCCTTGTGAATTGTGATAATTAACGTCTCTCTAGTATATATATTTTACCACTTATAGTTTCAATGTACTACCACCTTGATGTAAAATTCATGGCAGTGGCCCTGATATTTGACTGTGTTTGTGTATTTCAACATTAGATAGGGAAGATCAGTTTTGTTAAAATGAAATAGATGAGTATAACTTGTTGCATGTGAGTATGACATGAACATATATATGTACAAGTTGTTGGATAAGTTAACAAGCACTTACATGTTCCCCATTGTACATCTGGTTTATCTTTTGTTTGAGGGATGCAACCCACATCACATCATGTCTTCATTACTCTATTCATCATACATGAACCTTTTAAATTCTAATAGCTCTAGAATAAAAGACCACTCACAACCTAAAAATAAAATTCACAAATGATGACACTTAAACTAAAATTTAAGTCAGTGACATGACATATTTACAAATTAGTCAAAACATAAGTTAGAAAATTACACACATAACACTCTTGATCTTATTATACTCAAGAATGCAAACTAAAAGCTTTCTATAGCACTTTCACACTTTCATTTTCTACTGCCATAGGATTCACATTGGTCCTCCACACAATACTCCAAACAAAACCACTCTAAATGAATACACATCAGATTTTCCAGTCAGTTTTCATCGCTTATAGCACTCAGGATCTAAATACCCAAAAGTACCTTTAACTTCAATGCTAACATATGCGAGTGGTAAAGTGAGAGAGTTTTTCTACACAATCCAAAATCTGCAACGATTTTCTAACAAATGACAAATGTTATGCATTTTCAGCCATGCAACAGGTCTAGCACAAAAATATGAAATATAAACTCTCACAGCATTCACACTAGTTAGAACAGAAGATATAAGGAGAACTTAACACACAAAAATATAAACCCAATGATTCAGTGCATGGGTTCTGCTAGACACATATCCATATGTATGTAACATTTTCATGCTTACACATAATCTGAAAGCTACACAAAATGAACACTGAAAAATATTTAGAACATACACAAAATGGAATCAATGAAAATAGAGAAAACTTGCGATCCAATTGGATATTTGAAAACTTACCTTAAATGGATTTATGAACAAATGCATCAGTGAATATTGAGAATGGAATGAGCAGCAGCTATGCGTGTGAATTTCACGAATGGGCTTCAAATCATTTTACATTGTGTCTCGCTAACAGATTTCATGACCGAAACAAATTATTTTCATTGTGTCTCACTAGTGAATTTCAAGACTAAATTTTAAATGGATTTTCCTTTTAACTCGGGTTTGGGTTTTTGTGAGTAGTTCAAATCATGGCCTAAGTTTCAATTTGATACTTAGATCAGTTCATAATTTTTTAACAAATTTCTATTAATTTTCTTTTAAATTGATTTTATTAATTTTATTTTATTTCTTTAATTTAATAAAAGAAATGCATTGGTCATGTGGAAGCCATCTCGTTTTTATTATTATACAGATGGTCAACAAAAGGAAAATAATTAATAATAAAAGTTATCGAACATTCTAATGGTTTGAAATAAATGGTGATCAACAAAAGGAAAGTAATTAATAATAAAAGTTATTGAAGATTCTAATGGTTTGAAATAGTCAGAAAATGTCATCAATTGTGGTAGTTAACATTTTTGTCACATTGTAACATTTTTTTAGTGGTTTATGGAGATCACCAGAAAAAAAAAATCAATAATTACAGTGAAAGGCAGAAAAGAAAGTTTAGAAAGACCTCTTTGGTTCGTAATAATTGGTGTATAATTTTCTATACTACCATTCAATGATTACCAAAATTTCATATCATCTTCAAGTTTTTAGTGCAAGCTTGGCTTTTCACCAACAATGTTCTTCCTCTGCGCACTACACCAAGTTGACCATCATGAACATACTATCAACTCTCCATCCAATTAAGCCAACCTCTTAAATAACCTAAGCATATATAGCTTATTGGCAAAACTGAAATTATTAACGTTTTCTATAAGTATACATGTTTTCTGTGCTTTAGTCCCTTGATTTTTCGTTTTATTAACCTTTGTTGTATATATTTCTTAGCTCATTGGTGAAAGACCAATCATACTTGCAATATTGTGATTGTCACTAAGTTGAAGAGTTTTTGTATATAACAAAAATTAAATACAAGATTTCTCATTAAATAAATTGTCCACAATACGTTAGTCTGTTAAAGTAATTTTGTACACAAATTATTCTCTCTTTTTTGCACAAATTTATCCTGGAATGCTAATAAGAGCCCTGGTAATATTTATTTATGGTAAGAATTTTGATTGTCTTTGAGCTATTGTTGTCAGACGAAGCAACTGGGACATCAGAGGATGAATTAAGTCGGGAGAAGGTGGAAATAGTTGAAGGTTACGAATCTTCTACTTCACGTCTAGGTGATCAAGAGCTCAAAGAAATGCTCCTTCGTAAGTATGGTGGTTATCTTTGTAGCTTGAGAAAGGAATTTCTAAAGAAAAGGAAAAAGAGTAAGCTACCAAAGGATGCAAGGATGATACTGATGGACTGGTGGAACACACACTATAGGTGGCCTTATCCTACGGTAATTGAATTTAATGCCAAGAAGTACACATATCAATATATATTGTGTCTTGTTCATTAACACTATATCTGTCATTACTTAAAATATGCCAAAATCAAGTTGTGGCCTTGAATGTGTATCTGGTGTGTGCCCCTTGAGCAATTAGCAATGATTTGAAAGATATTTCTGAGTACCATATAGTAACTCCCTTGTTATATGGTTAAGTGTGTGTTATGTAAACAATGCACCATGCACTAAAACTTCATGTTGTGTGTGTTTGGATGTGGTTACAAACTTGCAAATTGGCATTGAACGGAAAAGATATAAATTGTTGTCACAGCTGACTCAAGGATATAGCTACTGAAGCTTAAACTATAATTCTACTAACATAAAATTGTTTGCTTTAGTTTTTATGAAATAAAAAGATCACATATGTTGACAAAATAAACTTTTTTCATTTAAAGTAAAATTTTCTCCTCACTTATTTATTGTTGGGTTGACTTGACTGTTGCTTTCACTTTTTATATGCTTTGAAAAATGTGAACTTCCATTTGCATTAGTGGAAACAAGTTTCCAAATACATCCAAAATCCTGACAAATTATAATTTAATTAACTTTGTTGCCAATTAATCTATTTTAGTTATTGTAATTTTCTTCTTAAGATAGTCTATGACTTGTGGATTCATACGAGATATTTGTAATGTGTTCACATTAGAGAATTGCTAATGTCCTTTATATTTCTAGTTAAAAAAATGAACTCTACCAAGTTTTGTATATATAGGTAATTTCATTTGTTAGTTGAAAAATGAGGATAAATTGGTGAGTTTTGGGTAGATGTTATAGGAGCATGTATATATACTAACTTCAAGATGCACATGCAACTTACCGTAAGCACTTGTGGTCAATGAATTAATCAAGCATGGTTATTGTAAAATTTGATATAAATGCCTTGAAACTAATATTTTGTAAGGAGGAGGAGAAAGTGCAGCTATCAGAAATGACTGGACTTGATCAAAAGCAGATCAACAATTGGTTCATCAATCAGAGGAAACGACATTGGAAACCATCTGAAGACATGCGATTTGCCATCATGGATGGTGTAAGTGGCAGCAATATTATAGGAGAGACTATGTAATTTATTTCTGAACATGCATGATTCTTGCATTGCTAGTTGCTAGCTACTTGTAACTTCTTTTGGACTGATGTGAGTGTGTATACGTTCTATTCCACGAGTGAGATATTATTTCTTGGAACCTGCACTTGTAAGCTAAGTAGCTAGGTCCCTTCCTATGCAAGAGTGTAAAACTTGTAGCTATATATGACAGTCATAATCGATCAATGTTCCTGAATCATTATTTTATGACAATAAATTGTACTATTAATTGCTTACTTACAAATTAACTTCGATAATCAATATTAAGACATGCCACAGATAATTATAGGATTTAAGTGTTACTTAATTATTCAATTCTATTTAAGTTTTGCCCTTAACAATACCGTTATTTTATTGTTGATACGATTATGCTGCATGAAAGTTTGTACAATATATATTTTGTACCTTGCATTTTGTTAATTTTGTGTAGCTATTTGTTATTGATGTTGTGGATGTACTTGCAAATGCAATGAAGTGAAAATAACCATTGATGATATTAGCAACTTGTCATTTGTCTTCTCTTAGTCTAATGACAGTATTTTACAAGTGTATGTATGAATATTTTTTTTTAAAAGCGCCTTTACAAAAATCTTATTTGTAATTTATGCAAAAAAAAATAACTTTAATTTATGCAAAAAATTATTTTATTTTTCTTTTTATTATTTATTTCTATAAGTACTTTTAGAAACATTTATCAAAACAGACCCAAGTATGCTACAAGTGAACTTGAAAACTAGATATCAATATGGACTGCAATGATTAAAACAATGTGTAGGAGAAATATAAATACTATAGGCATGTATTATCAGTATCATACTAAATAAATATATAGTTTCATTGCTATAAAAATGTTGTATACACTACACCAAAATTAGGTTTTTGTGACAATTAATTTATTTTTTAGCGACCATATAAATGGTCATTATTTTTTTTACCAGCATTTAAATAATGGCTGGTGTATCCAATGTCACTAATACTATTACCGACATTTATATAAAATGCTGGTAAAGACCTACTAAATTGTCGGGAAAACTTATTTTTTTTAGTGGCAATTTTAGTAGCCATTTTAAAAGCTATTAAAAGTTATTTTTTCAATTGTCTCATTTTCATCCATTTAGTGACTTTTATTCCTATAATTTTCTTTTCTAAATTCATAACTTATATACTCTCTTTTTTTATCTCTAGTCGATGTGAGATTTGTAAGATGAGGGTTGTCTTCTATTTATATATTTTTTAATTTATTTTTTTAATTGTCTTATCTCTTAAGAGATGTGAGATTTATAAGGTAATTTATTATAGTGAATTAAGAGTCTAACTCAACCCTATAAATTAACTTATAAGGTGATAGTTATTACTCACTTATATACTATTTAATTATTTTATCTCTAATCGATGTGAGACTAGTTTTTTCCAATAAATAATTGTCGCTAATAATAAACTTTAGTGTAATATAAATATATTTTTAATGACTACTATATATTAGCCATTAATATTTTTATTATATAATTAAATAGTGATAATTAAATTATTGTCATTAAACAATTGTCGCTAAAAATAATTTTTGTTGTAGTGATATATCATTCATGAACCATCATACTGATTACAAGATGTTTATATTGTCTCTTTATATCATTGGTTTTTATATATACTTGGAAATTTTTTTAGGAAATAAAGTTCATATTAGTGAGAGAAAATCAAATAACAATCATTAATATTTGGAAAATTTTGTAAGTGCTGTTTTGTTGGTTTCTATAACTGTACAGTTGTGTATTAATAATAATTTTCATATAAGACTATAATTTTTCAAGATAAGATTGACATCAAAGACAGAAATCCCTAATTATATAATTAAATAGTACTCATTAATTTTAAATAAAAATAAATAAGAGATTAAAAGTCACATAAGCAAAGAATCAAATCCTCCCACGCAAATTAATGCGCATTAAATTAACACATCGTATTTATTTAACAACTAGTATTTTAGCATGTGAAAATGTTATATATATATATATATATATGGAGGGTTCAAACGACACCGGTGTAACTTTTATTTATTATATATAATAAATCATATATACAAATAAGTATTATATTATAATATATAAGTTATATTTAAAATTCATATAAATAGATGTTTTAAATATATAAATTATATTTTTATCAATAACATAAATTATATTTTAAATTTATAATAAATAATTTATATTATAGTATAATATTATTTTTATTTATTAATAACTTAAAAATATTAAAATTTATTTCATAGATAATTCTGATAATAAAAATCAAATTAAATACTTAAAAATATTTTTAAAAATCTTCTCATTGAAGACATTTTTTAAAATCACTTAACATAAGATACATATTCATATTTAATATTTAATATATAAGAGTTGATTAAAATAATAATTAATTTTTTTATTCGATGAAAATATTAGGACGAATGCGAATTAAACATAAATCTTCATATATTTATCACAATTCAATCTTCATGTATGTTTATCACAACCACTAGATCGATTACATACAGTGATTCAGACGATGATCAACTAATTGTAATTGAACACTTTCTCTTAATTTTTGTATTTTGAATGAAAGACCTTCCAATTTCAGTAACATAATCCCTCTATTTTAAAATGATCGATGTTTTAACATTAGAATTAAATTTCCTATTAACTGATGATTTTAATTTGAATGAAATATTAAATATTTTTATTTCAATTTTGTATATAATAATGTTTAATATCATGTTTATCAATTTTTCAGCAACAAACATTAATCCCCAATTTATAACGTTGGCGCAAAACAAATAAAATTAATAATTTTAAAATGAAACATTACGTTAGTGGCCACTTTATATTGACGGAAGTTAGTTACAAGGCAGATGATAAACACACCTCCACTCTCGTATAAACACACCCTCTTTTTTTAAAAAATATATAAAATGTCTAAATTACCCTTAAAAAAATTGAAATTCTTAAATTTACACCTCTCTTCCCCGCACCTCCCTTATCCTTTATCTGCATGTAAACTTTAGTCTGGAATGGCACCAGAACGGCCCGTTCTGCAAGAAGAACGGCCCGTTCTGCTTGCAGAACGACCAGTTCTGAAAGCAGTACGGCCCGTTCTGCAAGCAGTACAGGCCGTTCTGCTTGCAGAACGGGCCGTTCTGTTGCAGTACAGGCCACCGTGTCACTTTTAAAATGGCTACTTTATGACTGATTTTAAAATCCCGATTTTAAAAGTCATTTTTTTACTAGTGTTTCTTTCCATAGAACAAGTAAGAGTCTTTCTCTTACAAGACCACATGCTGACATTGCGCACCCCTCTTCTTTCTCTTTGTGGCACTCCTCTTCTTCTTTTTTTTTTCCCGCACCTCGCACACCCCTCTTCTTTCTCTTTCTGGCACTCCTCTTCTTCTTCTTACTGTTACGGAAAGTTCTTTCCGGAATTATATAAAAATGTTCCGAAAAATACTTTCCATAATATTAAATTCTTATTCTGGAAAGTATTTTCCGAAAATGTTTTGTTACATAATTCTGGAAAGTAATTTCCATAATATTAAAGTTACTATTACGAAAAGTTCTTTCCGGAATTATATGAACAATAATTTTACTATTCCGGAAAGTACTTTTCGGAATACTAATGACTGTAAAAGTACTTTCCGGAATGCTAATGATTGTAAAAGAGCCTTTCTTATGCTGGTTATGGTGGGGCTAGTCCTTTTTTTCTATTCAGAATTACTGTAAAAGTATATTACTTAATGACATTGAGCGGAAAAAGGCTTTGGGAAAAAGAGGGGTGTGGAGTGTGGGGTTCGGGGAAGGGGGGTGCGGGGAAGGGAAGTGTAAATTTAGGATTTTCATTTTTTTTAAAAGAGTAATTTAAACATTTTATATATTTTTTTTTAAAAAAAAAGGTGTGTTTATACGAGAGTGGAGGTGTGTTTATCGCCCTAGTTACAATTATGATATGGCCCAAAATATCAACACTAGGCCCATGCGAATTAAAGCCTTATGATATTTTGTAATTAAAGGATCATGGATCCCTTTATTTGGACTAGTAAGGTGAGGCACTATGTGCTTCTATTAAAAATAAAAAAATAAAAAATAATAATAAATATATGTTGATCTAATGTTATAATTAGTTAATTAATTTTATGATATTAATTTTGATAAAAATATTATTTTTTTCTAATTTTTTTAAATGAAAGGATATAATGATTAATAAAATATAAAGACCAAAGTGATTACTAAAAGGAGTATCTCTTTTATACTAATTTTATATATTAGTATAGATATGAAAAAAGTTATTCAACGTACGGTTTTTTAAACTTAAAAATAAGTATTCTTTAAAAAATAGACAGAAGTTATTTCTTAAAAAAAACAGAAAATTACTTATTTTAAAAAGAAATTTAGATAAACACATTAAAAAATGAAAAGAGCTTATTTTATTAAAAAAAATGCTTTTAGAGAGAAAAAAAAATGTTTAAACAAAAGGACCCATAGTTTCTTCATTTTACGTTTGTAGTGTAATTTGCTTCGGACGGTTTGTACTTGTCAAATTATTAGTGATACCTGATTGTTGCATGTAAAAATATTGCACTGGAGTACTTACTTTTTAATTATTGAAATTAAGGGGAAAAAAATCATTTTCAATATTTAAGTTATTTATTACTTCTCTTAATTCTTATTAGAAAAAAAAAAAAAACTTAAACATCAACTATTATAAAATGGAGTTGCTTCAGATGGCAGTTGGGCGGCCAATATGTAGCGGTAAGATGTAGTGAGGCGTACAGTTGTGGACCATTAGGATTTTCAGCTATAATTGTTTTACCAAAACAAAATTCTCAGTATTATACCTGCTTTAATATATTTTTTCAGATGCATTAATTTTATGAGAATTTTTAATTATATTTTTAAATTAAAACTTATGATTGAGTCATTACTTTTTTTTTTCTTCAATTTTTGTAATTAGATCTCTGAAATTAATTTATGATAACTAGAAACCAATAAAAAAACAATTTACCAACTATTTTTATCAACTTTAGAGACCTAAATTACAAAAATAACAAAACAAAATAAAATTAAACGCCCAATTACAAATTTTTGGAATTCACTAATCTAATTAAAAACTCTCAAATAATAGTTTACTGATGTATTAAACCTCTGCACTTTGTCAACAACTGTTTACCAGTTATGAACAGATGCAGTTGCAGGTTCTTCTATATGGCAGTGATCCATAACATTTAGATCACTGATTTTTTTTATTTAAATTATATCTATTTGTATATAAATCTATGTTTTATATAAATAAAATTGCTTTGAAAACAATTAACCAGATGACCTTTGTTGGATATTTCTTATGGTGAATGAAAATATTTCCTCTACATTATTTACTTTTAAGATTAATATAAATAAATTAAAATTTATAATTAATATAAAATATTGTTATATTTCAACTGAATTATTCTTATTCAGTTCCTTCTTATTTTATTTTATTTATCTTCTCAAGTTCTCGTATTTAAAAATGTGTGTGAGAGAGAGAGAGTGAAAATAATAATAATGTAATTACAATAATAAATAATTGGGGAAAATATAAATAAAAGCATAGTTGGAATAGACAGATACATGCAGCATGATAATTTTGGACCTTCAACATTCGCCAAATACTGAATTACATGAGGTGGAACATTTATAAAGTCTCCACGAGCTAGCAATTCCCACTATATTGAAGCAAAGACATTGAAGAAAAGCACTATATCATCGATCTAAAATTCGAACAAGTACCACTATATGAACTTCAAAAATTAATCTCAATTCAGAATTTTCATATATTTCATGGCTCTGAGGTTCAGTAGATTCGCTGGCATTGGATTCTTTGCGGGAGATGATTTTGCCAACGATGGAACCTTCATAGCTGACCTAAAATTTGTGCAAATATCAATATGAACATCAAATTTTCATTTCATCACAGCTCAGAATCTTCATAAGTTTCATAGCTCTGACGTTCAGTAGATTCATAGGCATAGGATTCTTCACTGGGAGGTGATTCATAAACACTGGAGCCTTCAGAGCTGTCATAAACAGGAGTTTCACCAAAAAAGGAACTTTCAGGTGGTCCAGATTTTTCATGAACTTCAATTTCTCCAGTCTGAACAAATTGCAACAACAAATGCACTCCACTAACCACATCATAAATCATCAATCCTATTCTACCACCAACCCAACTGCCCATGTGACTTCCAACAAGATAGCCAAGTCTACCAAGCCTTTGTTCCCCGAAGAACCCTCCAGCATAAGTACCAAACAAAGTACCAGTGCCCCTAAGGAACCCTTCTGTGAGAGTACCACCATAGTAAATAGCTTCAAAAAAGTCCCATCCAGAAGAGATGATGGGGCCTATAATCCGCTTGGCTTGACGGGAAGCTAACTTCGCTGCCTTTTTCCCTTCTTTCTGTGCATGTTTTGCTGAATCTGTTGGGGACATCCCCTGAGCAACAGCATCAACAAGGGCAGACTCGATTGCATGACTCCTCGCTCTTTCAGCGTGAGAAGATCTAATATTGTAAACATAGAGCTTCACACCTTCCTTCACAGCACATGCTACAGTTCCAGAACCCATATCAAAGCAATTTAAGATCGTAAACTTCCCACTCTGGGATGATCCCTCCTCCCCAACAAGCTGCCTGCATTTTTCAGCTGAAAGGAACAACTTACGTGAGCACAAGCAAACACTTGAATTACCAGAGCGGGTTATTTTGAGGTTTTCAACAATCAAATAAGACAATGTAAAGTAAGAAATAAAAAGGAATAATCCATTAATTTCGTCCCTAAGTGTTACTCTCTCTCTCTCTCTCAAATAATCCTAGAGTAAATAACCTATATAAGTAATCCTTTAAGTATTGAGTATCCATCAATTTAGTCCTTCAACTGATATCTTAACTAATATTCATGGACCAATTTGAAGAGTTTTCAATTTTTGAGGAACTACTCAGCAATTAGCACGATTTCTAATGCTCAGCGGATTACTCTAATACCATTAAGGAGAGAGGGTAACATTTTAAGGAAGAAATTAAATGTTTATTAAAATAAGAAGTGATTTCTTTTTTTTGGAAAAACCATAAATTATTTGTTTTGATTTGCTAATGAGTATTAACCACACAAGAAGAAAAGTATACAAACACAACAGGTCCAAGCCAATCTTCAGAATTCCTACTACGGATAGAAAGAGAGAAATTCCCCTCGATGAATCAATGATACTTCCTATTGGGTTAAAAAATCAACGCATAAGAAAGTTAAAAAAAGATAGACTAATTAGCGTGAACTAAAATTTTCCCATGCTAAATGATTTATGCGAAGAATTGCGATCTGTGGGGTCCCGGATCTGAATTTGCAGAATAGAGGGAGATGAGTAAAGTAAAGTACCTGTGAAGCTAAGAGCAACGATGGCAGCCACGGAGAGGAGCAAATGAACCCTTCTACTCTCGAAATCCATGGCAGTGACACAAAACCCTAACCCTAACCCTAACCCTAATTATCCCTCTATAGCAGCCAGTTTGAATGGTTCAAAGAGAGGGAAGAGTCTTAATGCTTACAGTCTTACACAATCGTGCCTTCTCCGCGGCCTCCTCACGGTGATGGCATTGACCGTTGACCAGAATACTGAGAATAAAAGAAAACTAATCGTGTAGCAGTTGCAGGAACCAACCAACCAAAGCAATCGACAACCAGTGGGCCAAACCTTTTAGACCCAAAAGGCTTTAAACACAATGTGTCAGCCTAGTGCTATTTACACCTAATTTGTTTCCTTTTCACACCGCCTGCATTTTTTATTTTTATTATACAGGCTCATTTTTGTAATACAGTTATGATTTTATATATTAAAGAAACTGCTTTTTAAAATGAAATATATACCTACTTGAGAAAACTTAATATTTTGTCACTTTCATTTTTCATCATGATAATATTCGTTCTAATCATTTTTTTACCTTCGATTGATCTTATTTGAAAAGTTCAAAATATATTACTCATTTTTTTTATAATAAACAAAAGAGTCTTCGGTTATATTTGTTCAAAGAAGAGAAAAAGAAAGTATGTGTATAAGGCACTCTAATGTTTAAGTTAGTCTTCGAATTCAGACAAATTAATATAATTAATCTTATAATAAATGCAAAAGTATATTTTTCTTTTTTCACACGTCATTATATATACTATTGCTTTTTTAATAGGATCTTGCACTCTTCCTTTTGTTTTAACCTCGAGCAACTTCTTACCCCTCAACATCAACATTTGGTCAAGGTTTCCTTTTCCTCAAGGGTCACAAATTTCTATCTCAAGATAACTTACTCCTCATGTGGTTTCTCTTGTGTGAATTGATGGGTCGTTCCATGAGGATCGCTCAAATCCTCTTCATGGACCCATAATTAAGATTGACAAGCTGCAAAACAAATTGAAGGAGTATGAAACTATCCTTAGCTCAACTCTCGACACTAATCAATAAATTGTTGCTGACAACAAAAAAAATGAGAATGATATAAGAGATAAACTAAGGGAGTGCGAAGACTCTAAAGCTAAGTTGGTCGAGGACCTTAAGAAGCAAATTGACGAGTTGATCATTCAAAGAAATGAGGTTATCTATGATTATGAAGCCTACAAGGTTGATACTGAGAACATAACGTATAATGAGTATGAGGAGGGTTTTAATCATGTTGTTCAACAAACCTTGCATTTCCTTTAAATTCCCTCTGATTTTAAATTTGATTTTGACAAAGATTTTTATAGGAGAACTTCATGAATCTTGATGACATCCCTAATGAGGCCACCATTGAGGACGTTGTTACTCCTTTTTTTCCTTGTCCTCCTTCTCCCCAAGCTACCAAGGAGGAAGTAGTTAATGACAACAAGAACCCATAAACACTAGATTTCTTTGTATTTCTCTTTAAGCAATATCTTTTACCTTTTTGAACTTCTCTTGTCATTGATGAAATTGTACTTTTGATTTCTTAGTCTTTAATGGTTGTCATGAAAATAAAATTTAAAAAAAATGAAACAATTATTAATCAAGGACATCATTGGCCAAGTTGTAAATAATTCTCATTCTTTATTAGTTATCTTTGGAACAGACACTTAGTTTTAAATATTGAATGATGAAATCCTCGATGGGGAACTTTTAGCTGAAGAACTTCTTAAGTTAAAAAGTATATAGAATAGAAACTTGTGATTTCATAAATATGTCCTCATTCGAAAAGGTCTTCAACCGTGAAACCTTAATTGTTCTATCATCATAAGTACATCCTTAACCTAGGGAGCACTCAACAAAGAAACCTTAGTTAATTTGATAGGCTTATTCTTGGCCAAATGGGTCATCGACAGGAAAATGTTAGTTATTTTGTCCGGCTCATCCTTAATCGAAAAGGTTATCGACTGGAAAACTTTTATAGGCACATCCTTAGTTGAAGAGATTATTGACCAAGAAGCCTTAGTTGCTTTGATAGACACATCCTTAGTCGAAGGGCTACGAAGAGGGAAGACTTATTTATTTTTATGGGCATATCCTTGGTCAAGAGAGTTTTCTATAGGGAAAATCCTAATTATCTTTATAGGCACATCCTTAATTGAAGAAGTCCTCGATATGAAAACCTTGGTTGTTTTTATAAATACATCCTTAATCGAGGGATTCCTTAGCAAGAAAGCCTTAGTTGTTTTTATATGCATGTCTTTAGTTGAAGGGGTCCTTAATAGAGAAACTTTGATTGTTTTTATGGGCACATTCTCAGTTAAGAGGGTTATCGACAAGGAAATCTTAGTTGTTTTTATAAGAATATCCTTGGTCAAAGGAGTTCTCGACAAGGAAGTCTTAGTTATTTTTATAGACACATCTTTAGTTAAGAGGATTCTCGATGGTGAAACCTTAGTTATTTTTATAGCCACATCCTTAATCGAGGAAGTCCTCAAGAGGGAAGTCTTGGTTGTTTTTATAAGCACATCTTTAGTCGAAGGGGTCCTCAATAGGAAAGCCTTAACTGTTTTTATATACATGTTTTTAGCCGATGGGGTTTTTAGCAGGGAAACCTTAATTGTTTTTATAGGCACGTTCTTAGTTGAAGGGGTCCTCGACAAAAAGGCCTTAGTTATTTTTATGGGCACATCCTTAATCGAGGGGTTTTCATAGGGAAGCCTTGTTTGCTTTAATGGGAACATTCTTAGTCAAGGGAGTCCTTAACAAGAAAGCCTTGTTTGTTTTCATAGGCACGTCTTTAGCCGAAAAGATCCTTAAAAGGGATGTTTTAGTTGTTTTTATAGGCACATTTTTAGTTGAGGGGGTTCTCGAGAGGAAAGCCTTGTATAGTACTTATGAACATAACATTGGAAAATTTATCATATTATTGATTCATTACAGGCGTCTCATTAAAAATCCTTTTAGCAAAAATCCTTTTATGAGTGAATATTTTTTAAAATTAATTTTTATACATTTGATGTCGAGATTGTATTTAAGGGCTCTATTTTTATTCATTATGCGAAAAAAAGTTTATAACTACCAAGAGAAATTTTACTTGTCCATTGATCATTGGAAATAGATTGAGAATGTCCATCCCCACATTGCAAATGGCCAAGGGAAGAAATGCCATGTAACTAAATCATTAAATGGTTACACTATAATTTTGATTTTTTTTATAAAAATCATTACCTCATAAAATATATGATACTCATTTTTTATATTATTTATTTATCATTTAACTACTTAAATATCAATTTAATTTATAAACTCATAAACTATATCATTCATGGAAAGAATGCTCATTTTTATACCATTTATTGTTATTTTATATATTGAATAAAATTCATACATCACTGTAATTAATGTTTTGTTTGATTGAAGAACGAAAATAAAAATAAAGAAAGTTGAAGGAATCATTGTAATTAACGCTTTGTTCGATTAAGGAATGAAAATAAAAATAAAAAAAAGTTAAAGGAAGGTGGGAGGAAGGAAATAGAAAAAAAGTGTAAAGAAAAGTATATATTTTTACTTGTTTGATGGAGTAAAATTTGAGAAGAAAAAAATATATAACTATTAAATACATAAATCTCTTTTAAAAAATGTAAAATATAATAAAAAATACAAAACAAGCTCTCATTAATAAAAATAATATTAGTCAAGAAATAAGATAAATTCAAAAATGTATTTGGGCACTTAAAATAAAGGTTTAAATATGTTTTTAGTCTCTCAGATTTAAAATTATTGTGTTTTAGTCCCTGTAATTTTTAAAAATCTTGTTTTAGTCTCTAAAGTCACCAATAACATGTCTGAAAGTGATAAATTAAGACGGTTACACAATATTAACTAGATTTAATGTAATATTTTTACTAACAAAGACACCAATAGGTTAATTTTATGTAATAATGTTTGATAAATTTCTTAACAAAATTTGAATATAAGGACTAAAATAAGATTTTTCAAAATTATAGGGATTAAAAATAAAAATTTTTAATTTGAGGGATCAAAAATAAATTTATCCTAAATTTGAGGGACTAAAAACATATTTAAACCTAAAATAAAATAAAAAATACTAATAAAAATTAATTCAAAGATATCTTTATTTTTTTCATTCGATTTCACACTTTTTTCTCTTTTCTCTTTTTAAATTGAAAAGAAACAAGTTTTGGTGTGAGATTAAGAATGATGAGTAAATTCATATCCATGAATAATACTCAAACTTATCCCGACTTTGACAGAGAATATGCAATTTAATCGGATATAGATACAAGTAATGCTCGATTCATTAAATTGGGTTTTGGGATAGGTATAAATATACACATACTCTCCTTGTTTTTGTATCTACTTTAAATTTCTTTAAACTTGATTTATTTTTTTAAAAAAATTACTTAACATTTATGTAATTTTTACTTTATTAAAATTTTTTGTCAAATATTATTTAGTTGATGTAATTTTATAATTGATATTCTATATTGAAATTCTTGGTTTTTAAATATTTTATTTAAAAAATTTAATTAACTTTTAGACAAATATAAATATACCTAATACCCAATAAAAATAAGAATGATGATACAAATCTCATATCTGTCGATATGGAGATGGAGATGAGTATAGAGTAGAAAAATGACCCTAATGAAATTTGTACCTGCTCTGTACCATTGTCATTCCTACATGAAATTCATAAAAAAAAAATTCCTCATGATTACATATCCCCTTTATCCCATATAGGGCTCTGTAAAAGATTAATAAAAATTTTGGTTGAGTGTTTGTTAACCATCATATAAATACAACCAATTTATACCGAGATGAGGGACAGAGGCAAATATATAGGGCTTTCAAGCCCTATATTTTCTCAAGATCAATACAAAATACATCTAACAACAACCGTCTCAATTTTTTGACATTAGGGTCAGGCATAAATGATCATATACATCTTCATCATTTGTCAACTCAAATAATCGTTCTATAAATACAGCCAATTTTTACCGGGATGAGGGACATAGGCAAAGATATAGGGCTTTCATGTTGTATATTTTCCCACGATGAATACAAAATGTATCTAAAAACAACCGTCTCAATTTCTCGACATCAGGATGAGGCATCAAAAAATCGTATACCTCTTCATCATATGTCGACTAAAATAGTCATTAGGGATAATGGGGATATAGATAAGGAAATCTTTTAATAATCAATAAGCTAGGTAGACTCGATATT